ACACTAGCATATGGAATTTTTGATATTCTGGCATATTCTTCTTCAAATTTAGGACAAAATTCAGAAGACAGTTTAAAGCGATTAGCAAGAGAAAGTGTCATAGGTTTACAATCAAACATATTAAATTTTTTCAAAACTTTTGACACATTGATTTAGAAACAACATGTTTTTATCTTTGTTTCTCTAAATCTGCATGCCTAATATTCTTTTGACAGCACCAAGATCTTCCATATCAAACTCTGATTTTAACTTTGATTTAATATCATCAATTTCAGATTTATCTGAACTAGCCAACAGCATATCATCTACATAAAGGACCAAATATAATGAGTTTTTAACTCCATCACCTTTGTAGTACAAGCATCATATTGGCTTATTCTAAAACGAAGCTTTAAGACAAAGGTGTCAAATCTCTTGTACCGTTGCCTAGGTGCTTGTTTTAGGTCATACAAAGATTTCTTTAGTAAACAAATAGTATTTTTAGGATCACCCTTTTCAAAACCAATAGGCTGTCTCATATATATGATTTCATCCAATTTCCATCTTTTGTAAGTTGATACTCATCAAGGGGAAGACCTACATAATCAGTCTCTTTAGTGTGTTCAGTTTCATTTTTAGTTTCAGATAGTATAACATGTTCTTCATTTGCATTATCCCCTACAGTAGACACAGAGGTGTTCTCATTACTGCAGGAGGACTCCACCTCAATTTGAACATCTTTTTCGATTAGAGTTTTCTCTTTTTCTTCAAGACATGACATCAATGACTCATTAAAGATAACATTATTTCTTATTATTACCCTATAAACCTTTTCTAATTTAACCCACAGTCTGTACCCTTTTACATTGTCATTATAACCCAAGAATACACACTTTAATGATCTTGGTTCTAATTTACCAATATTTTGATAAGCATAAGCAGGACAATCAAGTACTTTCAGATAACAGTAATTTACAGGACTATTTGACCACACAGATTCAGGAACAACAAAGTTTAAAGCACTAAAAGGACTCATATTAATCAGGTAGGCAACAATTTTAACTGCTTCACCCCAAAACATCTTAGGCAGTCCAGAACTTAAAAGCATACATCTAACTTTATTCAATAAAGTTCTCTTCATTCTTCAGCCATTCCATTTAGCTATGGTGTGTGAGGAACAGTTTTGTGTCTCATGATGCCATATTCTTTACAGAGAATATCAAATTCATAATTGCAGAATTCCAAACCATTATCAGTTCTCAGGTATTTTATTTTACAATCAGTCTGATTTTCAACTTGAGTTTTCCAGTCATTAAAAATAGAAAATGTCTCATCTTTTGATTTCAGTAAATATACCCAGACTTTCCTTGAAAAACATCAATTATAAGCAAAAAATATTCGAAACCAGTCAATGTAGAGACAGAAGCAGGTACCCACGAGTCAGCATGCAAATACTCAAGTCTTTGTTTGGATTTATGGATTCCAGTTGGAAAAGAAAGTTTAACTTGCTTTCCTAAAATACAATGTTCACAAGTACCAAAATCACCAAGATTATGCTTGCCAAATACACCTTTTGAATGCAAGAAATTCAGTCCCTTTTTACTAATATGACCAAGTCTTTCATGCCACAATTTAGCCAGAGTAAAGTTTTCAAACATAATAGAGGCAGTTAATCCAACTAAGGGTTAAGCATTGAGGTAATAAAGGCCATGTCTCTTAGGGGCTGAATTGACCAAGTCATTCCCCTTAAGAATTTTTATATGTCATTGATTCATAATTATGTTAAACTCCTTGTCATCTAGTATTCCTAAGGATACTAAGTTCGTTTTCAAATATAGAACATGTCTTGTGTTCTCAAGGAACAAAACATTACCATTTTCTATTAATAGTTTGACAGTTCCAATTCCACTCACTTTGCAGGAAAAATTATTGCCCATTATAACCTGTCTCTCTTTAGTTTTCTCCAGATTTATAAAACAATTTTTGTTGGAGCACATGTGAAAGGAGCAACCTGAGTCAAGTATTCATTCATCACTTTGACATTTTTCAGTACTTACTAAAACAAAATCGTTTTCAGTTTTGGTTTTATCATAGGCCAAGGCATTACTTTGATCAGAACCTTTCTCGTTTGAATCATTTTTCTTTTTGAAACAATCTTTTGCAAAATAACCAAGTTTGCCAATAGCATTTTTTACCTTTTGTATTATTGTTGGTCTTACTCCTGTCGGTCCATCTTTTATTTGTTTTTGAAAACTTAAAATTTTGTGTAGGTTTTTCAAAAGTTTTTCCTTTAGTTAAAAAACTAGTTCCAGTGCGACTGTTACTTAACTCAGCCTTGATTTCTAAAGCTTTATTTCTCAAAGCATTGGTTGTAACATCAAGTGTGAGTTCATCTCTATCATATTCAAGGGCAGCTTTAATGTCTTTATACTTGTCACTATGGAGTTTAATAGGACTAAAACCAATTGATCTTTTGAAAGTTTTTCATCACAATTAGCCAAGTCTTAGGTAAGTTTTAAACCTACTTAAGTTTTCTTCTAAGTCAACTGCAAGATCCATTTTAAAAGAGAAGAATTGTTTTAAAACAAAACACTTATTTGGAGTGATTTTGGTCGTATATTTTGCCTTAAGTTTTGCCCAAAGATCAGAGGCAATGGTGGTTTCACCCACTTCTCTGATCACATTATTAGATAGGTACAAAAATATAGTACTCTAGGCAATTTCTTCAAATTCAGATTTCTTAGTGGATTCTAAACTCTCAGGCCATGAATCATCTAATGCCTTAGCACATTTCATTTGCATCAAAATGGTTTTCATTTTCTGAATCCACACATCAAAATCAATTTTACCATCAAATTAATTGACTTCAAATTTAGCAGTAGCTATGCATGCAAGTTATCACAAAAAGATTATCAAGAGTTCAAAACAGTTTAGGCAGGAAGTCCAAATTGCCAATTTGAAATCACAGTAAATCACAAATTAATATGAGATTTTACTAACCATAAAATATCAAAAGAGAGGGTAGGCAGGATCAATCAATAGAAAGCAATCACTGAGATCAAATTACAAGGTTTCACAAATCCCTCCAGCAAGATTCTCCAAAGTTACACATCCGTACTTGATTTATCTTAGATTTCAGAGGCCTCACATGAGCCACTGAACAACGATTAGTCTCAATGGAGTTTCACCAGTGTACTGGAAAATCAGGAAAAATTCAAAAAACCCAAATTTCTTAAATGTAATATACAGTAAATTGAAAGATCTCACCAAGTAAGTTCAATAACTCGAATTGATTCAAATCTACTTTTCAGCAGTTCCAAAAATTCTAGATCTGTTGAAGATCCACCTTTTTCTCCAAGATCTAGGTATCGTGCTCCTCAGTGGGGCTCTAATACCACTGAAAGGCAAATGTCACACTATATTAAATTGAAAAGCAAGATATTCAAATCGGCATAAAGTAAAATAGTGCAAGAAATTAAAGATTCAACGCAAGATTTCTTTCGACCTACGCCCCAGAGGTTCGACGACCACTTCAAATGCCTACATCCCCTGTTGAGCATCCAACAAGTTGGATTACGCTCGGTTGCACTATAATAGCCAAAAAATTGGGAACGAAGGGTTACAAATGTTCAACAAATACAGTGAGATAAAGCAAAGACACTTATCTTTCAAGATCGACCCAACACCTTCGAAGAATCACAAAGAATCTTCACTGCACTTCTCTCAAAACATCACAACTCAAGAGAACATAGGGTTTTATAGATAATCACTCATAATATCTAACCAGATCACTAAGATTTACAAGTTTAAGGCCTCGAATCAGAGATTTGAGCCAAAGAAGCAAAATAGACGAAACCTTCACCAGACGAGAGGATTTTCTCTCACAAGAACTAAGAATCAGACGCGTTAATTGAGAGAAGAGCGTGCCAAGTGAAATGACACCAATAATAGAAGGTTCCAAATCCAATCCAACGGTTCAGGTCAAGCCACGTGTCTCCATCCAGTTGAAAGTGTCAATTTAATAGAGTTGCAATTTCATAAAATACGACTTTCCAATATTAAAAATTTTGGAAGCATATAACCATGGTTCGAGTCTCGCATTTTCCAGCTAATCTATCAAGAATATAGATGGCAACACATTGTTCCACTCCACTTAAGAATTGGAATAGAAATGAAGTGAACTGAGAGATTAATGGAGATATTTTAATCTTTGTCCAGCTTCCAAAAGTTCCTAATAGGGAGGAGTACGAGGAGGCTGCCGCTGCCCATGCCCATGCCATCTCTTTGTAAAGGTAGCATGGTTTAAAGTTAAACTTAACGTGACATTTGTTCATACAAAAATCTTGCGGGACTCTTTAATCAACAGAAAAATACCCATTTTTTACTGAAACCTACAAATAAGACCTAATTGGTGTGTCGAGCAACCCGTACGAGGGGGGTGATTGTTCCTGCTCTAATGATCAAGTATTATGTCTTATCATGTCCCTATCAATGTGTAATAATGTGTCTACCACAGAGGACTTCAATTTTAGCTAATATTCCCATTTCTGCAGACATATCAATGTGGCTATGTAAAGAATTTTATCCAGTCCATTGGACACCAAAAAAGGAACGAAAAAGACAAAAGAAAGAAAGAAGAAGACAAGATTCAAATTTGACTGCCATATGGGTTGTGAATATTCGCGAGAGGTGCATTCCACTACTTTCTTAGATTTGGAAACATTTCCATTTTTTAATATGTGCGATATAAAGAAAGAATCCCCACTTAGTGCACACTGCAGGCATCCCATTCCTGAGAATATGATTAAAGATAGATTCTACGAGAGACCAGTCTTTTTTCTACATTATGAACTTTCATTCCGTGCAAAAAAGGTCGAAAGAAGCTGATTCTCTGGGCTTTTAAGCGAAGCCAGACATTTTAATTATCCGCGAGGGAGTTGCAAGACAACTAGAATAGTGGAGGATCTTTAATCCTCAATCGCATCAACATGCAGACGACAACTATATAAAGACTTGAGGTTGGAGCATGTCTTACACTGCTCGCCTCAGATCAAGTCTTATAGTTTCTTTTGTAATATTTGTGGGGAAAAAAATTGAATGGGGCTTAAAGGAAAATTGGTTTCTCAAATAGATATTAAATCCGATGGGAATTTATTCTATCAAATATTTAGAGAGAGACCATACGATACATCAGTTACGAGCCCTGGTATGATTCATCGTGTTGATTTGCACTGTGGTGAATGGGGAACTGTTGGCTCTGTCACGTTATGGAAGTTTATCCTAGGTAAGTTTATATAATACGTAACGATTCGTTATTGTGTTCAAATCGTTAACTTACGTACTATCTATTTTATGAGAGTCTCATCTTACCTCTCAAGAATTTCTACTGTGTTATCAGGATTCGAACCCATAACATCTCCTTAAGAGACTTAAATTGAATCTTGGGTTCGAATAGGGGTGAGATGGGCTAATATCTCTTAGAGCGTATAGTACATAAGTTAACGGCTTAGGCACGAGGTCAAGTCATTACAAAGAAAAGCGCCTTTCTTTTTTTGTGATGACCCAGTCTCTATTTCAAAACCGTTAACTTACGTATTATTCGCTTTGGAAACGAATTTCAGTCGCGTTTCACAGGGTTCGAACGCAAGATCCCTGTCTTATGAAATACTTAAGCTGAATCCAAGTACTAATTGGGCGACTTATTCAATTGGAACTAGGATCTAACTTAAATCCCTCATAAGATAGAGATCTTGAGTTCAAATTGATGGGTTCAGACTCTCTCAAAGTGGACAGTACGTAAATTATCTACTTGCGCATAGAGATCGAGTCGTTACATAATTAATTTCAATGGTGAATGATCTATTTAGTGGCTTGATGTTTAATTTGATAAGTCAATCACTTTTTCCATACTATGGTTAACCAACATTTTAACAAATTGATTACCATAAATTACATCAGAACATGTTGCATTCCCCCCCCCCC